TAATCGCGGAACACCATTTTTGAAAGTGACTTTTGATTTTTTATCGATTTTTCCATTATGTCCCGTTTTCTCCATGTTAGACGGGGCCTAAGGAGATGAGACTTTGTATAGGAGTTCTTTAGGATATCATCAATGATACTGCCAAGTTTAATCGCGGAACACCATTTTTGAAAGTGACTTTTGATTTTTTATCGATTTTTCCATTATGTCCCGGTTTCTCCATGTCAGACGGGGCCTAAGGAGATGAGACTAAGTATAGGAGTTCTTTAGGACATCATCAATGATACTGCCAAGTTTAATCGCGGAACACCATTTTTGAAAGTGACTTTTGATTTTTTATCGATTTTTCCATTATGTCCCGTTTTCTCCATGTTAGACGGGGCCTAAGGAGATGAGACTTTGTATAGGAGTTCTTTAGGATATCATCAATGATACTGCCAAGTTTAATCGCGGAACACCATTTTTGAAAGTGACTTTTGATTTTTTTATCGATTTTTTCATTATGTCCCGTTTTCTCCATGTTAGACAGGGCCTAAGGAGATAAGAATCGGTATAGGAGTTCTTTAGGACATCATCAATGATACTGCCAAGTTTAATCGCGGAACACCATTTTTGAAAGTGACTTTTGATTTTTTATCGATTTTTTCATTATGTCCCGTTTTCTCCATGTTAGACAGGGCCTAAGGAGATAAGACTCGGTATAGGAGTTCTTTAGGACATCATCAATGATACTGCCAAGTTTAATCGCGGAACACCATTTTTGAAAGTGACTTTTGATTTTTTATCGATATTTCCATTATGTCCCGTTTTCTCCATGTCAGACGGGGCCTAAGGAGATGCGACTCAGCATAGATGTTCTTTAGGACATCATCAATGATACTGCCAAGTTTAATCGCGGAACACCATTTTTGAAAGTGACTTTTGATTTTTTATCGATTTTCCCATTATGTCCCGTTTTCTCCATGTTAGACGGGGCCTAAGGAGATGAGACTTTGTATAGGAGTTCTTTAGGATATCATCAATGATACTGCCAAGTTTAATCGCGGAACACCATTTTTGAAAGTGACTTTTGATTTTTTATCGATATTTCCATTATGTCCCGTTTTCTCCATGTCAGACGGGGCCTAAGGAGATGAGACTCGGTATAGATGTTCTTTAGGATATCATCAATGATACTGCCAAGTTTAATCGCGGAACACCATTTTTGAAAGTGACTTTTGATTTTTTATCGATATTTCCATTATGTCCCGTTTTCTCCATGTCAGACGGGGCCTAAGGAGATGCGACTCAGCATAGATGTTCTTTAGGACATCATCAATGATACTGCCAAGTTTAATCGCGGAACACCATTTTTGAAAGTGACTTTTGATTTTTTATCGATTTTTCCATTATGTCCCGGTTTCTCCATGTCAGACGGGGCCAAAGGAGATGAGACTCAGTATAGGAGTTCTTTAGGACATCATCAATGATACTGCCAAGTTTAATCGCGGAACACCATTTTTGAAAGTGACTTTTGATTTTTTATCGATATTTCCATTATGTCCCGTTTTCTCCATGTCAGACAGGGCCTAAGGAGATGCGACTCAGCATAGATGTTCTTTAGGACATCATCAATGATACTGCCAAGTTTAATCGCGGAACACCATTTTTGAAAGTGACTTTTGATTTTTTATCGAGTTTTCCATTATGTCCCGTTTTCTCCATGTTAGACGGGGCCTAAGGAGATGAGACTTTGTATAGGAGTTCTTTAGGATATCATCAATGATACTGCCAAGTTTAATCGCGGAACACCATTTTTGAAAGTGACTTTTGATTTTTTATCGATTTTTCCATTATGTCCCGTTTTCTCCATGTCAGACGGGGCCTAAGGAGATGAGACTCGGTATAGGAGTTCTTTAGGACATCGTCAATGATACTACCAAGTTTAATCGCGGAACTCCATTTTTCACGACCTACATTTTTTTTTTTCGATTCTTCTGCGTCTTTATAATCACGCAGGCGAATGGAGAAAAATTTATATTTTTCGAAACAAAAGTTTAAAATTTAGTTATGACATTATCCATGTTGTCTTAAAAATGGCTGCTAAAACAGGCTGCTAACTTCACATTTTGGCTGCAGTAATGCGGCTGCTAGTTTCACACCGGTGTCCAAGCTGACTAAGAAATTGGTAAAGAATAGTTTGGTATGATTTCTGAGAGAAATATCTCCACCAACTTCAAGGGATACATGAGTACATATTATGCAACAAAATTCTCATAAAAATCCAGGTGAAAATCCTAGAATCACTTTTTTGAGAAATTATATTTCAAATTTGTCCGTCTCAATACACTGCAGTTCCCCTATGACAGTTTTTTTATGAATTCTTTAGGTTATGAATCGACTATTTTTTCACCAATTTTGAATCCAAATTCTCAAAAATTATTGTTGTACAAGATCGTGGAATTCCAGGGAAATTAAGTGGAATTTCGGGGAGATTATGTGATAAAATTTTTGATATTGATTTTTCTCATAAAACATAAAAAAATATCTTGTCAAATCTCAAGGAACTTTTATGTCCCAGATAGTTCAAATTGCTGAAAAATCAAATTAGAAATAAATAGTTTTGACCGAGGGGTGGTTAACTCCTTGAAATATGTACACAGATTTTATTTATCTTCATTAATTTTGTAGGATTTTGAAAATCCTCACATGATTTTACAGGATTTTAGATGATTATGGAGCACTTCAGGGAATTTAGAAGGATTTTTAGAGATCCTAAAGGATTTTTGGAGATCCTAAAGGATTTTTAAAAGAATTTAACGAATTTTTAGAGATTCCAAAGAATTTTTGGAAATTTGAAAGGTTTTTTTTTTCAGGAATATTGATGATTTTATAAGAATTTCTAATAAATTTTCGTGAGATTTTGTCACGGATTTTGCAGGCCTTTATGCGATTTGAAGTGATTTTAAAGGATTTTGTTAAATTTTTAAAGATTTTCAGGGATTTTAAGTAGATCTTACAAGTTTTTCTCTAAGTTTTTTTGGGATTTGGACCAACTTGTACATAGATTTTGACCAATTAATCGCTCCGAGATTTAATTAACTCCATAAAATATGTACACATATTTTAAATCTTTATTGACTCTGTAGGATTTTAAGGATTTTGAAAATCTTCATACGATTTTACAGGAGTTTAGAAGATTTTAGTTTTCAAGATTTTAGGTGATTTTGATTATTTTGAAGCATTTTAGGGGTTTTTGAAAAGTTTTTAGAGATTCTTAAAGATTCTTAGAGATTTTAACAGATTTTTGGGGATTCCAAAGAATTTTTGGGAATTTTCGAGATCATTTTGAAGGAAATATTTTTTAGAAATGCTAATGATTTTATAAGATTTTGTGGGATTTTTTTAGTTTTAATAAAATTTTTAGGGGTTTTATGCAATTTCAGAGATTTTGCTACATTTTTAGGGATTTTAAGTAGATCTTATAAGATTTTCCGGGATTTCGACCAACTTGTACATGGATTTTGACCAGATAACTCGGTTTTTACTTTAAAAAAATCCTTTTTTTGAGAATAATATCTGAAACTCGATCTGAAATTTGTTCCAAGATTTGTGTTCTTTTCAAATACACTGCAATTTTTTTTGCCTTTGTCTATAACTTGTGGCATGCAATTTAGGAACCAAAATCTCCAAATAGATTGTTTAAAGTCTCAAAAAACGATTAGATAATAATTAGTATTTCAAGTAGGTAGGTATGTGTTATAAGTAAGATTTCAAGTGTAATCACACAGATTCTGAGTCATCAATAAACAAATAAATTTAAAAGAAAGATTGATCTTTGATCAAATGGATTCAAGAGTTCAAGACAAAGAACATTATGGAAGAAAATTTGCCTGAGAATAAAAATTATTTTTCCATGTCTGTCTGATTTTATCTTATTCATTTTGTTTTATTTCATATTTTGTTTTATATCGTATTTTTAGAGTAAATTTTATACTAAGACTTGTACTCGGACTTGTATTAAGACCTATTGTTGGTAAGTATTGAGCCTTTGGCTATTTGTGAACCTTTATACCTCGCTTTATACCTACCTCAGGTGTTTGTAAAGTGAATCAAATAAATAAATAAGTGAAAATAAATAACATTGTAGCACAAACAAAGTTTTATACAGTAAAATCCAAGGTAAAATCAGTGAGAAATTTAAAGTAATATTTTCAAATACTTACTTACCTAAACATTTGTTTTGAAACTAATTACATAATTAAGTATAATTTAGGGTTTGGAGTTTAATACCTTTCTTAGGATACCATTTGTCTGTCAATTTAAAACTTGATCTTATGGAAAAAACATGAGTCTATTTTCACCTGAGAACTACTCCTTTTTCCATTGCAATTTATAAAATCAAAATTCTGTTTCAGAGAAGGAAACATGTATTTCAGAGTTCAAACTTGTAATACCTAGCTCATAAAAAAAAATAATTTAAGAATCGTAAATTCAATTTTAGAATAGGGAAAATCAAATTCAGATTAGAGATGTTGAAATTCAGAAATTGTCAATTATAGGTAATTAAGAAGCTTTCATAGATAATTTCTGAATCTAAATTAATATGTTATAACCTATAACCAATTCTGAATCATATTTTCCTATTCTTGATTTTTAAAATTGCATATCTGAATTAGGTACGTAGAATCTATATTTTCTGAAATTAGGTAAATACACTACAATATTCCTATTCTGAATTACAATTTCTATTCTCTAGAATTTAATTTCCGTTTCTCAAATACATTTTCCCTCATATTTTCCGCTTTCTGAATTACAATTGAAAGGTGTACTTAATGCTGGAAAATACAATGAAAAGTGCTTTTTCATCAAGAAACTCGGAGCGGCAATTACAAGTGATTATCAGTTAATCATGGTAATTAAATATTCACTGGCACGACTCGGTAAGTATATTGAACTCAAACTTGAACATCTGACAAAATAACAAACTGTAAAACAAATTCAAAAGCAAATTTACTTACCAAATGTACTGAAGAACACAAATACGACCAGTAAACAAAGAATCCAATTCATTTTTCTTTTAATTAATTTTATTGCATTTTTAATTGAGGAGGGCAAAAACGTAAACAAAACTGCTGTTGTCTTTGTAGTTTATTTATTATAATTTACTCGCATTTTATATAGTCTCTTTACTTTAATAATCAATTAAGTTAAGCTTTTTTAATTATTATTTATTGGCGATTTCAATTGATGAATTTAAAATGGAGCAAATAAGTTTAGGAGGCCAAGATACCGGTGCACAAGGAAAACATCAAACAACGGCCTATTTGGTTAATGTTTTACACTAGACGACACTCTTTATACGCACTTTGAATATTTTCATTCAAAAATTAACAAAACTCCTCATTGAAATTCGTAAAAATCCCGGAGTAAATAAACAAACACTCATTCAGCAGCAGGAACATCCCCAACAAGCATCTGTGCAAGACTGTCACCAAACTGTCAGTGTCATTTGAAGGCCCCCTGTTGGCAACACTGTTGTTGGAGGTGGGGCGTAGAACTAGATTTTTTAATTATTTCTTTAAGCTTTAATTCGTAAATTGTTTTGCAATAATTATTTGTAAATGGTTAATTGTTCCAAATTATAGATGTTTAATACAAAAATTCAATGAATAACAAGAAAAATTTGAATTAATTCAAAATCCAAACGGAAGGGTAGGCAACCAGCATAGCGTGGGGCATTCCTCCGATGAAAATCGTAGTGGAGTGTTGGCTTTCTACTAGGAGAATTTAATAGTTTGTATTTCGAGTATAAAATTGTATGTAAAACTGCTTAGAAAATAGTTAAGTGTGAAATTTATTCATAAAATCATTAGTGGTATGTGCATATGTGATTTAACAGTACAATTATTCTTAGTCCAATGTGCTCAATCAATAACAATTTAGGTACGGTACCTGTGTAATATAATTTATGAAAGTTTAGCAACCTTTATTGTTCATTGTACACTTGTTGTCTTATAAATATCGTCCAGTTGCAGGACCATTTGGAGTAGAAGAAATAACCAATGATAATGGCAAAAGGCTCATACATCTCTGTGAGACCCACAATTTCAGAATAAACAACGAATTTTCCAAACACAAAGATATTCACCGCTACACAATATGGATACAGAATACTTACCCGTAACTTAAAAACTCCATTGACTATGATTAACAACGTAACAGTCCTAAGAGGAATAACTTGAGGATCAGATCATTTTTCAGTAAGATAAAGTTGCAATTTAGGAAAATGAACAAAGAACTCAGAGGAACAATAAAACACCAATGCCATACTCACGGACACAGTGGATACAACAAAATACAATTTTGACAGTTCTAGAGATGAAAGCACTGTATTTCTATATCAGAGGCGATTCGACAGCAAACTATTGAACCCTGAAGAATCTACCTTCAATAGTACTAGATGATACACTGGGGCACCTTCACTCCTCAGGATCTCTACATCTCAAACGAACCTTTACGAGGATGTTTGGGTTCAGCTGGATCACGACGGAAGTAAAATTATTGTTGGCTGTGTCTACTTTTCCCCGAACTCTACGGTCGATTGCTATCAGTCTTTCTGTGAAACTCTTAAGAACACTTATTCTAAACACAGATTTCTTATATTTGGTGATTTTAACCTGCCATCAATTAAGTGGGTATTTGAAGATGACACAATAGTGCCTAAAGAACTACCATCAGCTTCTGCCGAGGTGCTCATGTACTTTCTTGAACTGCAACAGATGAACATCGTTCAGAATCATCTGGGCAAAACTCTGGACCTAATTTTCGTCGACGACTTTATTGATCTCTGCATCACACCCAGTGCTGACTCTCTAGTGGCAATGGATGCTTACCACCCGGCCATCGAAACTTGTTTCTCCCTGGGACAGATCAAGACGTTAAGTGTCAGAACTAAGGTCAAAGTATTTGATTTTCATCGTGCCAATTACTCGGAACTTAACCACTTTTATGAGCAGGCAAACTGGTCTTTTTTGTCCTCAATAACCGACGTTTATACAATGATCACTGTCTTCTATGAGACCCTTTTTTAGGGTATTAACCTTTCAGTTCCAAAGAAAACAATAAATATCCTAAATGGTATGACAAAGAACTTCGTAAATGCATCGCGCAAAAGAATAGATTATGTAAGAAATACAAGAAATCAGGACTGAAAGTTGACTATGAAGCCTACACTAAAATTCGTCGTGAGACTAAAGTCCGCATTGAAATTTACTACTTGTTATATGTTTACCAACACTGAGCACCTAGTCCCTAAAAATGTCAAACATTTTTGGTCATTTATCGATAATTTAAAGAGGAACTCGAACTTGACGACGCAGATGAAGTACAAAGATTGCACATTGCTGTACGCGTTCGCCACGCACTTTCAAGCATCCACGATGGCTTAGATATGACATCCATTGAACCTGTCCAGTTTGCTACTACCCTATCATCTCATAACTTCCAGGCACAGGAAATTACAGACAAGTTAAATCTGCTGGACATATCCAAAAAAGCAGGTCCCCACGGAATACCAGCTATATTTCTGAAAGGTTGCTCGTCTTCCTTAGCCTTACCACTTTGCATTATTTTTCAGCGATCTTTGAATTGTGGTTTTTTTCCTGAAAAGTGGACGTTTTCCCTCCTTTTTCCCATTTTCAAGTCTGGAGATAGGTGCGATGTTGAGAACTACCGTGGAATATCGATACTTTCTGCCATCCCAAAAGTATTCGAATCAATCTTAACCGAGGAAATATTCGGAACCTAGACTTTACCTTATACCAGAACAACACGGATTCTTTAGCAAGCGTTCAACTGCATCCAACCTAGCAGTCTACCAGAACTTCTTAATAACCTCCGTTGAGGCTGGACACAAGGTCGACTCCATTTACATAGATCTAGCCAAGGCTTTTGATAGCGTGTGGTGACTATCAGAAATTGGTATTTCTGGAAACTATTTAGCATGGATCAAATCATATCTTGGAGATCGAACCCAGAGGGTTGAAGTGTGTGGCTACTCCTCAAAAAACGTCAAGATCACCTCGGGTGTTCCCCAAGGATCACACATGGGACTTGTTCTTTTCCTGTTGTTTATCAACGATGTTTCCTCCTGCTTCCATTCCTCGCACTTTCTCCTGTATGCTGATGACCTGAAATTTTATAATATTAGAAATGGAGTTTCCAACCCACTGCAACCAGATCTCGACAGATTTGCTTCAAACCTACTGAAAATCAACATATCCAAATGCAAATCAATAACATTCCACAAGAGTACATCTTCTCCCATGTCAACATATAAGTTTGGTGTCAACAAATTGATAATGTGGAATTCATCAACGACCTTGGAGTAACGTTCGCTCAAAAACTGATATTCAAAATGCACATCGATAATATTGTTGTCAAAAGCTGCAGATTGCTTGGCTTCATTAAGCGAAATACCAAACACATCAACGACACAAAGGCACTTACATGTCTTTACAACGCCCTTGTACGCAGCACTCTTGAATACTGCTCCGTCATCCTGGTCTCCACATTATACTATCCATATTAATAGACTAGAGAACGTCCAAAACAGGTTTCTAAAATACTTACTATATAAACACCGCTTTCCTTCATCTGGAATACCTAATGAAACCAGACTATTGCTGTGTGGGATGATGAGCCTTGAGCAGAGACGGAAACACGCCCTACTCATTATTCTTTACAAAATCCTGAATAATTGGATAGATGATAGATTCCAGCACATTATTGGAATCAATATTATTTTTGGTCCCCATTAGACGAACCAGACAACTTTTTATGAGCACCCGCACAGAACGAATTATGGATTCACAGCTTTTGTGGACAGAACGATTTGCAATTACAACAGAAATTATAGGGAGTGTGATCTTTTAAATTGTTCCTTATTGTCGATTAAACGTTGTGTTTGAACTTTAGATTTTAATTTATATTTGCTTATGTGTACTACTAGTCGAACTGTTGTTCACTGTGATTTTGTCCTATATCTTATTTTTTATAACTATATTTCCATGTATGTACCATTTAGAAAACTTATTGTTATTCTGTAGTGTACTTATTGAGTACATAAATAAAGAGGAAGATCCATGGAATGGATATGGAGATAAATGATGGGTGCCTGCTTACTTTTCAGTTTGCAGATGATCAGGTCATAGTGGCCAGTGACAAACAGGACAAGAAATATATGATTAGAAAGCTGATAGAGATAGAAGAGTATCAAGAATGGGGCCTGAAAATTAATATGAATAAAATAAAGTTTCTAGGCACCCAGAGCGGAAACTTGGAAGTGGACGATAGACAGTACATTCGACAACACCGGAACAGATGTGAAAGAAATAGAAAAGCGAATAGTTAAAGCTAAAAAAGTAATAGGAAGCCTAAACGGAATCTTATGAAGCAATAGGAAATAACAAAGAAGAGAAAATTCAATATATATGTATGAGAGACAATGATAAATGGAGTCGAGACATGGAGAATTACAAACAAACAAAAAATGCGGAACCTGTTGAATGCTATTAGAAGATCCATGCGAACCTCACGAAGAGAGAGAATAAGGAACGACAATATAAAACAACAAATGGGAATAGAAGGCATGATAGTTTAGGACATTGAAAGGAAACAACTTACCTGGTACGGACATGTAGAACAAATGCTAAATACCAGGTGACCCAGAAAAATGCTGCATTGGTAACCAACAGGTAGAAGAAAACGAGGAAGACCGAAACTGGAATGGCAGAAGACCATACAAAAGTCCATGCGTGAAGGAAGTTTCTCATCAGAGGATTGCGACAATAGAAGAGGATGGAAATTAGGTGTCAAACAACGAAGAAAGACGTTCTTCAAGACTTTCCACTTTTACTTTTTCATTTTGAGTAGATGGTGGAATCTCTTCGGTCTGATATGATGTTCCCCAGTTTGAAATAGTGAATAGTTCTAGGTATTACTCTTTCTAAATACGAGATTTGCAAATGATAATTATTATCATCGATATTCACATCATCAACTATCCTATAAGCAAAGGTGTGTTAGAAAAAAGTTTGCTTCTCTCCCCAGTGCATACTCGACTATGAGTTCGGCTTTTTCTTTTAGTGGATCATATTTGTTTTGTCTCACTTATCTTCGAACAAGAACTAGATTTTTCTTGCATGACTGAGCATCTTCTTACGAGGAGTACAATTAAAGAAGAAAATTGCGACATCCTCGATTCAACTTAATAACACTCCTTAGAAATAGCGGGAGAGTAATTTTTGGTATCGAAACGTATCGAAATAACGCGAGTTCATGATGGAATCAAAAACTATTTAAGCAATTGAGTAAAGAGAACACAGATCATCAGTCCAGTGATTAAAACAAAAATAATGCTGACAAAGCCGTAGGTACTGAAATAAAGTCTAATAACTTAAGCTTAAACATTACTCAGTCAAAACACAGAATGCGGTCTTCACCCTTGTGCAAGGGAATAACCAGACCTTGTTTGAGATACACAGAGAATTCGCTCGACAGAAACGAACTATCTATATAGCTCTCGCATAAGCTAGCAAGGCTTTCATCAGGCAAATAAGACACAATCTTCAAAGAAAGATTATCCCAACCCGATGTATTCTTATTCCTTATCTTCCAAATAATTTCCTCAACTTCTTGTATAGGTGTTGGGAGAAAAAGAATGTCTCAACCACCATAATGTACTCCAGATAGATCCTGGGATAAAGCGGTCAATGAATACTAGCAGATAGATTGGATCCAATGCTACAGTAAAAGTGGTTAAGATCATGAGCTTTTAACTTGCTTATAACCACTTTTTTATTATTATTCTACCCCAATAAGATTCCTTGGATGTGTTGGAAGAATTTTTGATTATTTTACGGTAATACATGCCCTTAGCGAGTTTTATTGAATTGCGATAAGTATTGAGTGAAATATTGGTTGTTCATGAAGTATATTCTTATGTAGTGACGAGAACGCACATTTTTCCCAGAAATACGTAATCCTTTGGTACCCGAACACCGAACATCATTCCAGACAGTTTGGACACGCAACAGTTCAAACTTTACGAAGATCCCTCCTGTATACACATACCATACCTACGTCTTTTTTTATGCTCAGTGTGGATCAGGGAAAGCAACAATATAGGTAGGTACAGCCTCATGATCAGACAACCCAGCATTAGTAGTCTTACACTCCACTGAGTCTGCATCAATGTTAGCGCATATAAATCTAGGACAGATGATGACAAAGCTGTAACTCTAGTTGGCTGATCTACATGCATACAAGAATTAAAACAATCCAACAAGTTACACCAGCAACTGATTTTAAGTACAAAATTAAAATTAGATAAGTTCTACACGGGAAGGATTTTCTAAAAGCTTGAAACTTGTACATTTTCTATTCATCAATCGTGACATTTTAAATAAAATAAATTTATGAAACTAAAACAATTATAGAGCTGAAGAAAATATTTCATCAAAGTTGGTTGAAATACAAATAAAATCGATCCAAAACACGTCCCAATATCCCAACTACGTCGATTTTGAAAAGTACCAAATAAACTAATCCGATGTACCAAAGAATGTTGCAGAATACAAACAAAACATACATTCTAAAAAAAATAATAATAATTATAAAATATATTTGACTATATTTTTCCTCTATAGGTCTTACCTTCTACTATGTATTTTGGCTTGTTCAAAAGTACTATTATCCTCTTTGAGCAAATATTGCCTGGCACCCATTAAAGCCTTTGTAAAGTACTCGTAAGGATCCACGTCACGTCGTCCATAGGCGAAATCGTTTCGGTCCTCGTCTAAAATAACATCTTCCAAAGCTGCCGATTTTTCATTTTCAAATTTCCACTCTTGCGTAATGAAGAATTGCAACGCCATGTTGGCTATGAAGATTTTTCTTTGGATTTTTAGTAAGCTAAAAAAAATTAGTAGCTTTATATTTAGTCCTAGTAGCCCAAAAAAAGGTGTCTTACATGGGTCTATTTCCAGTTAGTTTCAGTAGCCCATCTACTACGAGAGCAGGTAATATATGAGATAATACAATCCTCAAGATATGATTGGGGTAGCATCTTGTAACAACCCCTGAGGGGTACCATAGTACGTTGTTCAATGGGTATTCCCAACATAGTTTTCGACCTAAAAATTTTCAAGCTAGATGATATTGGTGTGCTACAAAACATTTACTCACCCATTTCGATTAGCTGATTGATTGTTATGTTGTTTATATTGTTATTGCTGCCATTATAAACTGATGCTGATAATTGATTATTTCTAAAAGGAACATAAGGAATTAGAGGACTTTATTGTGAAAAATGGAAGAAAACTTGCTGCACTATCATTAGTGGAGTGGACTCGAGAGCTATTCTGTCCTCATTTTCATCTATGTAATAAATCTACCGAGAGATTGATTACTTTTGAAAAAGTTTAGGTTTAAGATGAAAAGTTATGTGAATTATTGTCCTTTTGTTGTTGAAGTTGCCATTTACCAACAACTTTTTTTTCAAAACCGAAGTTTTGTTACACTCTCGTATTCTTGCCTGAAACTGGCGCAGGAAATTTATCATTGGACGGGTTTAAATAGTAAAATTGCCAAGAGGTTTGGATGTTTGATCAATAAATATCTATTATTACTGTGGTTGTGGTTGTGTGATCAACAAGGAAAAATGGTAAGAAAGCTAATGATATTATATCTAGTTAAATAACGTTAATTAGACTATTTGACCAATGGGGATATAAATGTAAATTTGATTGTAATGATAATAAGGGCTTCATCGAGCAAGAAAGCCCAGGATAAATGTCCTTTTTTTGTCCCTAGGAAGCAGAAAAAAGTTAAATGCAAAAGGCGTTTAGGATCTTATTTCAAAAAAAAGGTTTACAGGAATGATGGAGAATGAACCTTTGAAAACGTGCATACCCTTAGACTACAGGACTAAAGTCATCATATACAAAACATTTCATAACACTTACTTTTCCAAGCTTTTTGCCCATGTGGCCATTAAAAGAGCTCTGATCACAATATCTACAGGTATGTAGTCGGCAGTTAAACTAGGTTCGGTGTAGAGAGACCTTAAAATACCTAAAAATAATTTTTGGTGATTATTTTCTCTTTGGATAAAAGCCTCAATAGAACCTACCTTTTCCACTAGCAACTAGAATTCCAACAGGCCCATTGAAGTTATCAATCCATCCAGGCACTGGATCTTTTAAACTCGAAATTACTAAAACAGAAAAATCACAAGTCGTTGAATATGGTATTACAAATACAAGGGGTAGGTAAATACAGTTAACTATGATTTGATTGATTTTTTAATAAATTTGTAAATAAGTTAGAGTGATTTCTGTCTCACTTGGCAGATACAAAATACATGCTTATTCGTATAGACCATAATTAGCCTTCCCTTACATCTAGTATTCTTATTCCCGCCACAAGTAAAAAAATCTCTATATAATGTGATTTTCTTTGACCACGATTCAGTTGTGAACAATTCTTAACTTTACTGACAAAGACGAATGCAGTAAGTTATAACATTCATAAACTTCAAGTATCATTCTTACCTATCGATGGTCGAAAAATCACACAAGGAATTTGTCCACTACACAAATCGTTGACCACATGCTCTGCCAGGCTTTTCGTGAAAGTATAAGTGTTGGGCATGCCATTCAAATAATGAGGCGTCAAAATATCCAATATGTGCGGATCAGCGTTTTCAGCGATGTATATCGACTCTCTCCAATCTGCGTGTGCTGGATAGATTTTTTCTTCAATCACCTAAGGTAATTGAATCAAATGTAAATTTGTATGCAATTTCTTTGTTCATAATGATATTGTTACAAAAATTGCCTAGAGAGCCCGGCCAAATTCTAAGAAATGCAATTGTCTGCTCAATGTTCCTTAATTTAACAATCTTTATCGTATAGAATTTTCGAATTTTGTGAAGAAGAAACCTCATATTATTCAAGTTAATTAGAATTTTGGACAAACTATTAGGTACAGCATGTAAAGCAAACGCAGGAGAATAGTTTTGGAAGTCCTCAAAAGTGATATGACTTGATTGCTGGAAGAAATTGGGTGAGGACAGAGCCATGGAGAAATCTGGCTTGAGAAAATTGTTCATTCGAACATCATGACTAATATTTACCTTTTTATCAGCCTGACAGTATGTCGTTGAAACATGCACCAAAACATCCAAATGATTCATTTCTTGGGCCAAATGCACAACTTCCCTTGTACCTCTAGTATTCAACAAAATAGCGTCTTTTAAAGGGTCATCAAACCGCACTGAAGCTGCTGCATGATAGATTATGTCGACTTCATTAGTCAGCAGTTTTCTGGATTCAGCAGAAAGTCCTATATTGGTTTGGATTGTTTAAAAAAAAATTAATGGGTATAGATGAAATCTTACCTAAACCAATATTCATGACGTCACCTAATACAGGAACAATTTTTTTGAGATTATCTGGAATTTGCTTCTTTAATGTGTCAAACAACTGTAAAAACAGATTAGATTTTTTTAATGAGAATTTAACATTAACCTTACAGGAATGTCGGTTATTAGTTTGATTCGTTCCTCAGGGCTTTTGCCTTTCTTGGGTCTGATGAGTACGTAAATGGTTGAAACGTCCGGACAGCTCCTCAATATTTTTTCAATTAGTACTTTGCCCATGAATCCAGAACCACCGGTGATGAACAATTTTTTACCACTGAAATACTTGGGTATTGGGATTTTGTCTTCGAAGGTGATCATTTTTGAATACTTATTGTTTTGACTCAATAGTTTGATAACTAAAAAAAATATAATGAATTTAAATCAATATAATTTATATTGCGGAATTTTCAAACTTCGTGAGAAATGAAGATCTTACCTATACCAATAACAACTGTAGATATTTGTGACCGATACGACGTAATATTATGGAATAGAACTTTGTACGATATTAGTGACACTAAATGTGGAAAGTTGATCAAATTTGAATACAATAGAGTTCATAGAGAGCACTATATAACCACTAAAAAAAATGCTATAGGTAATATGAAAACCTAATAACCATTGTAACAATTGTAATTTTGAATGGCAAAAAAACTGTCGATGTATCTTTTGTGAAAATTACTCATGTTTATTTCTTTTTATTAATTTTAGGATATCGTGGATTTATATAAGTGTAGGAAGGATATTCATTTAGGTTTTTTTGAAAGTTACATTTAAAAATCATTCTTTCTTCATTATTAAGGAACATCCGGAGACCCATAAATAGATTTTTTCAATAACGCTCTAATTTGATTAGTAACAATGTGTTTTTAAAATATTGGTAATGAATGCTGCTCGGTATACACATAAATTACCAAGTCATTGGACTATTGTCAATAAGCCTATCTGTCTAATGTTATGTATAGAGGTAGGTCACTATCAATTTACTTTAAGCCATTCCAAAGAAAATGCAAAATCCATACAAACTCAAAAAGTTTGTGAAAAATCCAGTATTTATACATAAATAGATAGGGAAAACTTAAAATCCTTATTGCAAGCATTGGGAAATTTTATAAAAAATGAATTGTTACCGAAGTAGGTACCTACCTTTAAATGCTATACCTACTTACTCCTTATTCTTAATATAAACCAAAATATATCGACACAATTTTCTTACGTTAAAGACCCAGTTAAACACACTTGACTTTTAATACGAACCCATATACAATGCCAATGTAAGGTTTAATTCAAGTTGCACTAATCAAATACGCAACATTTTTTATTCGCCAATTTGAAAGGCATTATACTGGCTCACTGGAGCTCATTTACCTTGGGAAATTTTTATTTCATAAACCTTTGAAAATAATCTACATCTAACTATAATAACGATTAGGAAATATAGGTTTGTTGTTTTAATTTAACACACGATTTTGTTAATTATTGCAAATAATAATAATGCAGTGAGTGCAAAGAGAATCGGATTGCATTAGGTACATAATTATACCTATTCAACGGTTGTTACTTGAAAATGTATTATTTAGTTTATTGATTGTCCTATACATGAACCATAATTTGTAAGTTAGGGGTTCCTCAAAATATGATTCTCATATGTTTGGTGGTCTTTCTTAGAGATACATTTCTTAACAATTTATTCATAAAAGATGTCCTCTCAACACTGCCTGTAAATGTGCAGGGAACATTTTAGTTGACCAACCAAAACGAAATACCTAATTATGATTCCGACGTATTCAGAGCCTGTTGTAATAAGAAAAACTGCAGATTTTGCTTATTCAATTTGTATATTTTCGTTTTCTTTGTAATTTAAATTGCCCGATTTCCACACCGGTACGCTGTTGGTGCGTTTTTTTTTTTTTTCAAAGTGCTTTCTCCATTAGGCCTAATCCACTTTGAAATTACATTGTACAATCAAAGAATGACAACTTTCCATAATTCAACGCCCTCTTGCCAGCTTGGATGGCGCCATTATTGCTACACTTACCATAAATAGTATAATAGTGCAACAAAAGGGATTCAGGACAACTATGGCATTAGGCCTCCCCGGGGCCCCATGCCGAAAGATTCAATCAAATTATGGATTGTTTTGGGAATTGATGCACATATAGTTTCATAGCTGAAAAATAGAATTTCCATCGGTCCATGGAATCACCAACTAAAGGGTTTGTAGGCATTGTGGTAATTTGTGCTGGATTCAAAGTGGAAGCAAGCTTGCTTCTTAGACTTAGATAGATAGATAGATAGATGGTCCAGAAAACTGGGAAGACTTCTAAAAAGAATCAAGACAAACCAAATTGTAAATTAATTATGATGATGGATACCAACCTAAACACTAGATACACAAACGACATACCTTCATGCACTGTTCCTCTTCTGGAATCATCTTTCTTTGAACAAAAATAATTATGATACAATATAGAACATGCGTCATCTGGAAAAAATAAACAATTTTAGTACCTACCTAAAAGTTTACTGTTGAAGTTAGAAACTTACCTACCTTTTTAGATACACCAAAGTCTGATCTATAAAACCTCTGTTGATCTGAATTCTCTGTTAATACCTAGGGTTCTTGAGCACTGAAGGTAGACATTTGTGCCGGATCCAGAGCGAGAGCCAGCTGATGAAATGAACCAAACATGTTGCTAGATTGAGGGGTGCGGATGGTCCAGAAAACTGCGAAGACTTCCTATCGAGCTGAAACAAATCAAAGACAAACCAGATTGCAAGTGCCTAGAAACTTCAACAGTGAACCCAGAGGGCTGTCTGATGATTATAATACCAACCTAAACTAGATATAGTGAAGAAAAGTATATACTCGCAATGTTCCCCTTCTGGAATAATCTTCTTAAAACCAGAACTTTTTTGCTATAATATATAGAAACTGATCACTTGTCACTTCATCCAGAGGACAAAAAAAAATTGCCTGGCAAAGTTCAAGAGCATTCAGCTATTCTATTAGGAGGCTGAATTCACTTTGAAACTACATTATGCAGCTGACATCCAGCAGCAAATCATAAGTCAACCATTTCTCGCCGGTAATCCGTAGTGCCCCACTGCTACACTCATCTTAAATAGTATAATCGTGCAACAAATGGGATCCTAACCTATTATGGCGGACGGCTTCCCCGGGGGACACCAAATACCAAAATTGTTGTCCTGGATATCAGTGAAACGCAATTTCGATTAGTAAAAAATAGTAAACATTTAAAGAGAGAGTTATTGACATTTACAGCCAAATGCTCAACGTTCAATACCACATTTAACCAACCAGAAGTAGCTTACCAGAGTTCTAGTTCCAGTACCTGTCACACCTAAAAAAGAAAAAACAGAATTAAATTCCTGTGGAAGGTTGATAAAAGCAGAAAGCATTCATGTTCGTCATCTGGATGTTGTATTGTTCTAACCCTAGAATACTAACCCTCTAAAAACACACGTAAATACTATGTGTATGAAATGTGAGTTTTACTTAGGTGTGTCTGTATATATTGTGTGAGTTTGTTTTTAGTTGTGTACTTACATGAAAGTATGTTTAAGTAGAATTGAAAAAAAAAATCTCCTCAAAACTTTCATTTACACAGAATGCAAAATAATAATTCCAGCCGCTCATATTTTGGAAATTTTGAGAAATAATCTTAATTTTTTTTGAATGAGCAACACTCAGAACAAAGGACCCCGCACGTACATTTCTTATGAGATTTTGAGATTCGGTCAATTTTTCTGAAAATTTGATATGATCAATAAAATCAATAAATTCAGGTCTATAAACTTAGCAGTCCCAAGGTGGAAAAAAACTTCGGGAACTATGTAATAATTAGGTGCTTTTTAGGTGCTAATTAGGGCCTCTAATTAAAAATTAGGTGCTCCTTTAGTTTTTGAGAAAATCAAAAAAAAAACTAATGGACTGCTAGGTTTATAAAAGCCAATCCCCTATAGTAAAATATATTTTTTCAAATTTTTTCTTTGTATCAGAATTTGGTGCTTTTTAGATGCTCCTAAATAGTCCAAGAAAAAATAGAATTGATTAATTATTAACTGAGTTACAGATTTTTTTTTTTTTATTAGGGGACTGCTGCCTTTACGTTTACATGTTGGTGTGTTAGAATGGAAAAAAACTTCGGGATCTATATAATAATTGGGTGCTTTTTAGGTGTTAATTAGGACCTCTAATCAAAAATTAGGTGCTCCTCCAATTTTTGAGAAAATCAAAAAAAAATTAAGGGATTGCTAGGTTTATGAAAGCTAGTAGTCCCCTATGGTAAAAAATATTTTTCCAAAATTTTCTTTTGTATCAGAATTAGGTGCTTTTTAGGTGCTCCTAAATAGTCTTCGGGATCTATATAATAATTAGGTGCTTTTTAGGTGCTAATTAGGGCTTCTAATTAAAAAAAATAAATATTTTTATTTACTATAGGGACTGCTAGCATTCATAAACCTAGCAGTCCGTTAGTTTTTCTTGATTTTCTCAAAAACTAAAGGAGCACCTAATTTTTAAATAGAGGCCCTAATTACCACCTAAAAAGCACCTATTTATTATATAGATCCCGATTTTTTTTTCCATTCTGACACACCACTAGTAAACGTAAAGCCAGCAATCCTCTAATAATGAAAAAAAAATTTTGGAAAAATATTTTTCACTATAGGGGACTACTAGCTTTCATAAACCTAGCAATCCCTTAGTTTTTTTTGATTTTCTCAAAAACTAGAGGAGCACCTAATTTTTAATTAGAGGCCCTAATTAGCACCTAATTATTATATAGATCTCGAAGTTTTTTAGCCATTCTGACACACCAACAAGTAGACGTAAAGCCAGCAGTATCCTAATAATTAAAAAAAAATCTGTAACTCAGTTAATAATTAATCAATTCTATTTTTTCTTCGATTATTTAGGAGCACCTAAAAAGCACCTAATTCTGATACAAAAGAAAAAATTTGGAAAAATATTTTTCACTATAGGGGACTACTAGCTTTCATAAACCTAGCAATCCCTTGGTTTTTTTTTGGTTTTCTCAAAAACTAGAGGAGCACCTAATTTTTAATTAGAGGCCCTAATTAGCACTTAAAAACCACCTAATTATTACATAGATCCCGAAGTTTTTTTGCCATTCTGACACACCAACAAGTAAACGTAAAGCCAGCAGTCCCCTTATAATTTTAAAAAAATCTGTAACGCAGTTAATAATTAATCAATTTTATTTTTTCTTCGACTATTTAGGAGCACCTAAAAAGCACCTAATTCTGATACAAAAGAAAATTTTGGAAAAATATTTTTTACTATAGGGGACTACTATAGCTTTCATAAACCTAGCAATCCCTTAGTTTTTTTTTGATTTTCTCAAAAACTAGAGGAGCACCTAATTTTTAATTAGAGGCCCTAATTAGCACCTAAAAAGCACCTAATTATTATATAATTTCCGAAGTTTTTTTCCACCTTGGGACTGCTAGGTTTATAGACCTAATAAATTCCGTTAAAAAAAAGTACTAACCCACGTCAATTTTACGTACAGTAGTCTACTTTTGTGA